ATCCGTCATGTTGTGAAGGAAGAAACAAAAATGTGGCAGCTTGACCACCACATCGACACCATCATAGAGCCAGTTATAGTCAATTTCAACGAGGAAAGCGATAGCGACAGTTTATTACTGTCAGATGTAAGTGGAAGCGACGATGAATAAAGGTAATTCCCAAATTTTTGACTTACAATATGTTTCAAACCGCTCTTTATTAAGCATGTGACAAATCTAGTTCATCCATGTTAAACATTCATACCCCGCCTATGAACAGCCGACTACTGGTAGCTAAGTGATGTTCACGTGAACATCGATGAGTCATTACAGTTTTAGATAGTTATAGTATAGCCATTTTTTCCTCAGTTGGCTGACAGCGTTCATGCAAGATGTCTCGAAAGTGTGTAAACAATCCAGATCAGTTTTGTTACGTGTGTGGTGATGTGACTTCTGCGTCTCAGAGACGGTCTATTACTCCACTAATAACAAAGGCATATCAGCTTTATTTCGGTTGTAAACTAGGTGATCAAGACAAACAGTGGGCACCCCACATCTGCTGTAATACATGTGCTTCAAGTCTGAGGAGCTGGTTAAATGGCAAAAAACGGTCTATGCGCTTTGCTGTCCCAATGGTTTGGAGAGAGCCTACAAATCATATTAATGATTGTTACTTTTGCATGGTACCTTGTGTTGGACAAGCCACAGGTATGTCCAAGAAAAAAAAATCGGTTATTAACTACCCAAACATACCATCTGCGATGACACCTGTGCCTCACAGTGACGAAAATCCTATTCCAAAACCCCCAGAATCCTACACTTGCGAATCAGAAAACGAATCAGATCATGGCGATCGAGTGATTCGTCAGGAAGAAGATATGCCATCAACGTCAAGAGATCCTGATTTTATACCGAGCACGTCATGCCACCAACCGCACAAAATAACACAGTCAGAATTAAATGATCTTGTAAGAGATTTAGAACTTCCAAAATGTAAGGCAGAGTTACTTGGATCAAGACTGCAGCAGTGGAACTTGTTAGAAGACGATGTTTCGGTATGTGTTTTTCGTAAACGCCACAAAGACTTAGAAGCATTTTTCAATATGGAGAATAACTTGGTTTTCTGCAGTAACATTAACGGCTTACTGGCGGCTTTAAATATAAACTATAACCCAGAAGAATGGAGATTGTTTATAGACAGTTCAACATTGAGTTTAAAGGCAGTGTTATTGCATATTGGAAATATTTTACCATCTCTTCCTGTAGGGTATGCAGTTCACATGAAAGAATCATATGACAATATGAAGTACCTATTGACATGCATAAAATACGATGAGCACCAATGGCATATTTGTGGCGATTTGAAAGTTGTTGCACTTTTACTTGGGCTGCAGCTAGGCTACACAAAGTTTTGCTGTTTTTTGTGTGAATGGGACAGTCGGGCAACTGGCCTGTTCGTCAATTCCTAGAGCCAGGTCAAAAAAATGTACAGCATATGCCATTAGTAGATTCGAAAAAAAATTTATTACCACCACTGCATATCAAGTTGGGCCTAATGAAAAACTTTGTCAAGGCATTAGATAGAGATGGGTCAGCTTTTCAATACCTGCGTCAGAAATTTCCAAGACTAAGTGAGGCAAAGGTTAAAGACGGTATTTTTGTTGGGCCACAGATTCGAAATATTTTGAAAGATACACAGTTTGAAAACACTTTAACAGGTATTGAAAAAACTGCTTGGAATGATTTCCGTCTGGTGGTCACTAATTTCTTAGGAAATAGAAAAGCTGACAACTATAAAACCCTTGTCAAAAATATGCTGTCATCGTATCAAAATATGGGCTGTAATATGTATCTTAAGATACATTTCCTACACTCACACCTGGACTTTTTTGCTGACAATTGCGGAGCCGTAAGTAATGAGCACGGCGAACGTTTTCATCAGGATATTTCAACAATGGAAAAAAGGTACCAGGGAAAGTGGAATCCTTCCATGCTTGCAGACTACTGTTGGACGCTTGGTAGAGATGCTCCAGAAACGATCCATAAAAGAACAGCAAAAAGACAGCGCATATAGTGATTCTTATAAGTATATGAATCTTGTTACTTTTTTTAATATATCCTTAAAAATAAAATGTTTTTTTTCTAAACCGCAACTAATTTTTTTATTTCATTGTCATTTTTGGATTCAGCGCCCCAAAATTAACAAAGAAGTGCACTTTTCCCACAAGATACAATTAAAAAACTAAAATTTGTTGTCCAGTGTTGCAGAACCTGCAGATTTCGCATGTGTGTTTTAGCAATAAAACACCAAGCCGCACATGCGTAAGTCATTGCTTGTCTTATGACCACCTTATAGAGTCGAATCTTGTTAATCAAACTTAATTTTGAACGTTTACATAATAATGGGTAAAGCTGTCGAAACGTAATTTGGAATTTAGTTTTTAGCGCTTCTATAGGGTTCCGCCAAGTCATCCCTTTGTCCAGAATGACACCGAGATACTTAGCGGAGGATTCCCATGGTATACGAATTCCATTCATTGAAACTTTCAACGGAACGCCGCGACGTCTTTTTGTACTGTAGATTGCCTGCGTTTTCGAATGGTTTATTTTAATTAGCCACCGATCCGCCCAATCTAATACTTCCTCCACCGCACTTTGTAGCCTGTCATGGACTAGGTCACCAGACCACGACTCAGCCACTAATGCAGTATCGTCAGCATAGAGATAGACTTCACAGTTGCTGGGACTACGGACGTCATGGATGTACAGTGAGTAAAGGATAGGTCCAAGGACCGAACCCTGAAGGACGCCGGCTGTAATCAGCCGTGTTGTCGACAGGACATTGTCAATTTTGATCCGAAATTTCCTACCTTCAAGGAAGGATTTCAGTAGTTTTAGAAGCCAAAAAGGGAAGTCCTTTTGGATTAGTTTATACAAGAGGCCCGCGTGCCACACCTTGTCAAATGCTTTTGAGACATCCAAAAGCAAGATGCCAGTACTTTGGTTAAGGGTGAATCCTCTGGTTATACGTTCCACCAGCCTAACCGCCTGTAGCTCCTTATTATGTTCATACCGAAAACCGAATTGCACGTCAGGAATCACATGGTGATCTGACGAGAAATTCTCAAGGTGACGTAGAATCACCTTTTCTGCGAGCTTAGACGGAGCCGACAGCAGGCTAATGGGACGATAATCCTGGGGAAATATCGAACCCACCTTCTTTGGAATCATTATAACTTCAGCGGTCTTCCACGTGGATGGGAAGTACTGGATCCTTAGCATGGCATTGACTATAGCCACGAGATAAGTTAAGGACTTCCGCGAACGCAGCTTCAGCGCCTTATTAGTGATTTGATCCTCCCCAGGTGCTTTACGCACTTTAAGGTCTTTAATATGACCTTGAATCTCTGCTGGTGTGCAATGCGGGATCTCAGGAGATGCCGCTGATGTGCTAAGCAGATCTTCGGTTGAAGAAGCTTCTGAAGAAGAATCTTCTGATGAAGAAAAATCACCAACGATAGCGCGACTGTCACTGACGCCATTGGCCCTAAAATATCTCCTAACAGATCTTACGATGTGTTGCTCCTCGTTGAGGTCATTATCAAGATCATAGTTGGGAGAGAACTGTCTTTCCATGGCATCGGCGAAAACCTCAACCTTCTCCTCTGTCCTGAAGACAATGACTCCAGGACCGTGATTGTGTGGGATTTGTTCACGCTTTCCGTTTTTGAGCGACTTCGCCACCGTCCAGAGAGGAATGCTTGAGTCAAGCATCCCCGCCAGAAGGTCGTTCCATTGCTCATTGCGGAATTCATGAAGAGCATTTCTTACTTCATGAACAAGATTCGTCGCTCTGCGAATGTCATCAGGATGACAAGACCTTTTCGCTTGCTTAATTGCAGCTCTTTTATCAGAAATTTTCTGACGAATGTCTGCTGGCAGAAAAGGTCTGCCGTGTCGCTGCACGGGAAGTACAGCTGCACGCTGCAGAGCTTGCTGAACAAAACTTGTCCACTCTGCTTGAGCCGCATCTATACCGTTCTCATCATCTATGATCGGAATATTGGGGAACACTCTGAGGAGCGACTTGTATAGCGTTTCCTTGGAGGGGTTTCATCCCCTAAGATCTGCTCATTACCCACTTCCAAAACGACGGGAAGATGATCGCTTGAGATGTCATACATGATTCAAGAAGTGATACTGTAGCTACAGTTTTTGGATAATGCCAAATCAAGAACATCAGGTGCCAGAAGGTGATTAAATGGGTGGTGCGTCGGCTCCTCAGTACTATGTATGAGGTAGCCATTTCGTATCACATGGTTGTACAGTCGGATCCCACTGGTGGAATTCAACCTGGAATGCCATGCTCGATGTTTGCAGTTGAAGTCCCCTGCCACAATAAGTGGACCCGAGTAGTCTAAAAGGACTTCCAGATCCGCCTCTTGCAGCCTGATACCACACCTGACATACACCGATGTGATTTTTAACGGCACACCTCCCGTCATATTGACCACCACGGAAGCCGCTTCGATGCTCTGCACCTCAGCGTTTGTGCTTCTGTGGTAGTCAATACCGCGTTTCACTAGCACTGCCAAGCCGCCACCCCGTCCAGTCAATCTATCAGCCCGGATAACATGGTAATTCGGGAAAGCTAGACGATCTCCCGGATTAAGTAATGTTTCCTGCAGCAAGGCCACATCTATACTTTCGTCCACAAGAGCTTGATGAAATTCCCGTTTTTTTGGGAATGTCCCTTAGACCCAAACAATTCCAAAAAGGAATTTTGATAAATGCAGGCTGTCGTCGATTGTACCTAGCCATTTGCAGGAAAGATCGCCTGCAAAGCCTGTGTTGCGCGAATCAGAGGACCTATGATCTGCTGTAAGGACCTTAGCGCGGTTGCCAGGTCCACATTTTGCGTGTTCGCAGAAGATCCCACAGAGGGGGCAGCCCGGGTTGCATCCCTAGCTGCATCCGCGTAACTTACATTGTGCCTTTGCGCTATCACTTGCAGATTTTTCTTAGGGGCAAATCTGATAAGTTCGGCTATTCGCTGGATGCCCCACTCCACAGGTCGCGCACTTGCGTTCCTCTTGTTCTGTTTGAGGGCATAAGTGGGTCATGTGGTCAGAAGCACATTTTAGACACTTAGGTGGTGCAGTGCAGTAAGATTGCGCATGCCCATATTTTTGGCAGCGGTGACACTGCCCGATGAGTCTTGAGTTCTTTTGAACTTCGACTCGGATAGCCAAACCTAGCAGCTCATGTTTGTTGAACAGCTGCTGAGATTTTTCTATCTTGGGCAGTATGACTACCACCAAAGGCATGGGCACGCCGCCACCGCGTTTCAGGCGAATTATGTGCAGGGGGGAATATCCCCTCTGTTGCAACTCTTCCTTGATCTCCGTTTTCGAAAGTGTCGAAGGTACTCCTGTGATTACAGCATGAATGTTCCTCTCTGAGGGTAGAGGGAAAGTGTGATGGGGCACCTCTTCCTCCCTGAAGAGACGAATAATTCTGCGGTAATCATCCTCGGACTTGGGAATTATCCTGATTCCTGCATCGACGGCAACCGCGCGTTCGAATTTGATGCCCAAAGAAATAAACTTGTAATTTACGCCTCGCCATCTCGAAGCATCGCGAAGAACGATGGGGGTAAAACGTACCTTGCGTGGGGACTGTGCAGTCGTGTCTTCTGATACCTGAGATGTCGAAGGCGAAGAAGTAACCGATAGATTAGGCACAGGCTGTTTATTCGAGTCGCTTGCAGTTGAACGAGACGTTTCATACTTCGATTTTGGTGGAGAGAGAGGAGGAAAGCCTGTCGTGTCGATCTTGTTTCGTCGCGTTTTACGGGGCTTAACCTTGATAAAACCGTCAGGGAGTGTATCGTCGTCAGTGGAAAGATCGCTTGAATTATTTAACGGTCTTTTAAGATTGACAGCTTTGTCTTTACTGGGATTTTGTTGAAGTGTTTGGGAAGAATGTGTAATATTTAGATGGGAAGGTACCTGGGTTTTCAGTAGGAGGTCTAGTTTACCTGTTAGGTCGGTAATTGTCCGCTGTTGGGCTTCGATGATCATCATCAATCTTTCATAGGTCTTCTTATCATCGTCCTTTTTTGGCAGCTCCTGTCGAACCATCTCCAATTCGGCTCTAAACTCCTCTACGGTCTGCTCCTTCGGCTCCATCTCCATTGCCATGGCGGAAGCGCCATTTCCTGACCCCCCTGGGTCAGTTTCCATAGTAAATACCTCGGTTATCTCGCTATTCGTCTCAAAATTTTCCGGATCCAAATTACGGGACAGCTGCTATCAGTGCCCTATACAGGGCGATATAGATTAGCCTTGAAGACTTCTCTCAAGACAGAAAGAGCGATGCAAAATAACGCGAGGATAAAAACAGCTTATTGACAAGTGCCAGATGTTTCTCTAAATCAATCAGCACTTGCTGGCACTTACCTATATAGTTCTAGATGACTGCTTGTTCATTAAAGGCTGCAAATGCATCAGAAAACGTGAACATAGTGTTTATTTGTGTTTGAGATTTTGTCTGACTAGGAGGTGTTTGTGTTAATTATTCAAAATGAAATATAATCTCAACATTGCAAATCGATGAGGTACTTGTCTTTGCAGAACTTCATTCAAATTTAGCTAAGGACAGTGTTGGGCTTTGAGGGAGATCAAAGGAGACAATTAATAGAAAGTGGGACGAATTAGCGATATGTCTGAATACTCATGAATCTGGAGCTACAAAAAATGGACAATGCTGGAGAAGGGTGAGTTTATGTTACATTTTGTTATTCATCCTTTTGTCATCGCTAATTCATAATTTTTATAATTGTGTTGAATCTTACTTTTCATTATAAGATTACAACCTTTTGCTATGGTCATTATTCTGTTGTATCCCTCTTTTCATTAGATAAATTCAAAAAAGTTGTAGAACTTTTTATAGAAGAAAAAATGCCATGTTGATTAATAGAAAATTATCTTACAACAGAGTAATAGCACAATTGTTCCCAAAGACTAGCTTTTCACAATATTTTATCAATTTTTTTTTTATTTAAGTAACTTGAGAAACGATGACGATGACTTTATATGAAACTCTTTTGTACTCTACTGGTAGAAAATAGTTTGTGAATTCAATGTATTTTTCCAAATAGTTGCTTCCATCTTTTAATATTTGCAAACATAATTTACACAGATTACATGGGTAATATTCTTGGATTAGTACTGTAGGTTATAATAAGGCATTTTGTTCCATGTTCCATATGGTTTTATTCCTGTACTAATACAATAATACTTTTTTACAGTATTGGATAGACCTTAAACATAGCATACACTCTAGAGCTGCACAATATAGGCAGGATGCCACAGGTACTGGTGGAGGGTGCTAATGTTGATAACTTATCTGAAGTAGATATGGCCATATTGGGAACAGCAGCAGTATTTGGAGATACTGAACTTCAAATTCCATTTAGTGTAAGTACATAACTCCTGGATAAATTTAAATGGGATTAATTTTAATTAATGAAAAATCAGTTTGTATCCTCTATCTCTATGGCCCACTTAATTAAACCACATTTAATTTGATTTTACTTCCGGGCACTCCACATCATCTTCTAACACTTGCTCACAAGATAAAAATAAGTACAAAGTTCTGCTTCAAATGGAAAAAATACAAATTTTTAATTTAATTTTTCACTAGTGATGATCTTGTTTTAGAATGAAACTTTGCATATGAATTCAGTTTCTACTTGGTATTGCTTCATAACTTCAGACATTAATTAAAAGCTTTTTGATTTTCAGAACCAACTCCTTCATCTTCAGCTGCTGAGCCACCACCAGATATAGAATTACAAATAGCTAAGCAGTGTGCAGAAGCCAGTTGTATGCAGGCAGAGACAGCATTAATGCAACTTTTCACAAGAAATTTGGTCAAGCATCTCAAACCTTCAAACCTGATTGAAATTCAGAAAGGATAAAGTATTTTTATGATTATTGTTTACTTGTGCGAGCTAATCTTTATCATTTTAATAAAAGATATTTACACAAATCAATTTACTATATTATACCTATCGCTGTTGTGTAACAGTGCCCTATTTTTTTGTGTTAAAACTACTTGTCTTAAATTATTTAATAAAAATCACTGACATATTTTTTGTAATGGCACCTCCAATCCATAAATCATTTATAACTCTTAATACAGTCTCTCAACATATTTTTAAGACAATAAGATTTTTTTTTATTGTATTTAAAATAATTGCTTTACAAATTGACGAAAATAAAATAGGAGTGTCATTAAAAAAAATGTATTTATAGAAATGCATTTGATACATTTTTTAAAGAGAATTGGTCCCCATTAGGAATACATTTAGCGATTTGTACTAATCTTCACAAGCGTCGAAGTTCTAGGCTGTTTGAGTGATTGTGGAGCACCGAGTTTTTTTTTTAATTTTTACGATTGTATTTATTACCATTAATGCTTAAATTGATAAAAAAGTTGTGGGTTCTATTACAAAAAGAAGGTCATCGGTTTTATAACTATATTTTAAAGAGGCAGTGCTTTTTGTCACAAATGCATTTTGCAATTTTTCTTGATCTTCGCTCAAAGCGTACTTTTAGGCTTGTTCCAAATCCTCTAAAATAGATATTGTTGAATATGGACATGTGAAAATAAACCCTCCTAGAAAACTAATTCTATAAACATTAACATTTTCTTCACAGTGGTTGATAAAACCTTTTTAAAGCAGAGCTATCATTAAGCATAAGCATAAGACAATGAAATGGAAATTTAAAATGTTCGATACAGTAGATAATACAAATTTTAATACTCCTGTGCATCGCCCTATGGTATTTCTGGTAAGACCGATTCTTAATGGATGTCCAAAGTCACCTGTAAAAATATATCTTTCATTATTACTCATCTTCAAGCAGGCATATAACAATAATTACAACTAAAGTAAAAAAAATCAAAGTAAATATTAGTGTTGAAATCGGTATGTTGCCTAAAATATGTGAAATATTAAGACTCGGATTTGTTGCTGTATTGTTAATCTCACAGATAATGAGTCTGAGGTATTGATCTTAGGATCGATGAATATTGGCTTATTACTCTTGTTAATAGGAAATTCAACTTCCACAGCAATGGAATTTTTATCAGGTAATGTAAACTTCCATGTGTTGAAAATTTTTGATGTAGCTGAACTCATTACAGTTTCTCAGTTAATGATCCACCATACAATTTTGATATCTCACTTTCTTAATATGCATGGCAATATAATTACTATCTGATAGTGTTTGAGGGAAGTAAATATGCTTAGAATGTCTGGATGATGTAATGCATCCACCATTTCCCTTAGTGCTTTGGATACACTAGGTTGACTGAGCCCATGTAAATGACCCATGGCAATCTGTCAATCTGTTTCTTGCAGGAACCAGCGGCCAGCACCAGAAGTGCTGCTAATGCCTAAAACCAATATGTTTCTATACTGCGGTAGGAAGGTGCAAGTAAGCTTATTTGATAATCATTATGAACTTAAGTCATAGATACTCAAAAATACGTCCTTATCGAGAAGTTTGCCGTCTTTGAACGTGCATTCTTTCGCTTTCCAATGCTTCCATAAGTAAAAATGCACGAGCCATCCAAAGAATCAAAATTGCTGAAAATACAAATTGGGAGCATACAATCACTTCTTAGACTCGTCAAGCTATTTTATTCCTTATTTGAACTTGTTATACTTACCTTTCTTGTTAAAAAAATGAATAGTTTTGACAAATTTATCCAAACAAAACACTAGCAACCGATTAGCGACCGACTAGTCGACTACCACTGAGCAGTTGTTAATTTGACAGTTCAAATCGCTAGTAAGTTGCTGTTGGGTCGCTGTCAATGAGTTAGGGAATACCAATTTTTTGATACTCCTAACAAAATAATGCACTTTTTGTTCACCAGTTGCTCCATAGAGGCGCCACCCTAGCCGGTCGCCCGATTGAGACGCGCCGACTGATACATAATACGAAATTTGCGTTTGACAGCAACTATCGACCAACTCGAGTCGGTTGGCAGTTAGGTAATAAGCCTGCCGATCCAGGCTCTGTCGGCTTTTCAGCGCAACATCAAAGGAGCACGGCGAGCACCAATGTGATATTTTGTAATGTACGAATACTTAGAAGTAAAAGAATTATTTTTCTTACTTGTATATTTTCCTTTAAAACTTCGATCAACGCCTCACAAACTTCTGAAATGATGTAGCCGATCGATTGCTTTGAAATTCGAAACATGTATTGCAAACTACTATGTGAATCACCGGTCGCTAAAAATGGCACCGTGACTGCAAGTCTTTCTTGCACTGTGATAGCAGCTCTCCATTTTGTATCTTGTTTTCGTATTGTTGATCCAATCAACGTGAGAAGATTTTCAAAATCCGTCGGAGACATCCTCGTAAAATTTTTGTACTGTTCACTTACTTGTTGAAATTTAAATTCCGCTATCAAATTGCTGCAACCGTGTGCTGATCTATTAGTATATAACTGCGTTTGTTACCATCGTCTCGGATGTTGTAGTCGCTTGTTTTTGGATAATTAGTAGTGAATATAAATATAGGCAGCTGCTGTTACTGCTATATCCATTTCCGGCTAGTATTTGTCTTTCATTGAACGACAGACAATAAAATTGGAGCGTCATTTTGTTGCGCGATGTGGTTGCACGACTTCTTTCGGTTTGTGATGTTCGTTGCAAAATTTAATGTTTTGATAGCATTTGCTAATCATTCCACGGTGGATTTTCAACTATATAGTAGTCAAGCCTACCCGTAGCATACTGCTCCTGAAATTTCATGAAAATAGGTGTAGCTTTCATTAACATGACGCGGTTACAAGCACGAGAATTACTCATATTGGCCTACTGATAGATTGACGAAAATAGTAATTTTTCGCGATGTATATGTATGATAGAACAACCAAGCATTTCGGATATTACTCATTCGTGAGAAGCGAAATACTCGCGTACTAATAAAGCATAAAAGTGATTATTTTTTTAAGAATGATATACCTCCTGATTTTTTTAGCATTGGTTAGGTAGA